GGTAAGGATGAACAACAGAGAACGTAGTCACGGGTGAAGAGCATAGTTGAAGATCCTGTTAACCCAGTGGCTGATGGGGCTGGAAATCAGATATTTCTGAGTTTGAGTCCTATCTCTGTCACTTGCAGGACATAGTGTGTGGCCTTGGAGAAGAATTCCTCTATGTCTACATCACTCAGCTTGCCATGGATAGCATGATCACAGCACTTTACTCGAGACACTGATGTGGAGATCGCAAAACACATAATAAACACCTGATGAATGATAAGTGGTGGCTATTCAAGTATCTGCCTGGCATAGATCTAGTCCTGCCGCTAGCACCAAAACGTGGTCATCAATGAAACCTTTCTGTTAACAACTAATCACTCTGATGTTTCCATAGGACACACCCCCAGACACACACACAACCATAAAAACAAGTATCATGGAAATGAAGATGATTTGCAAAAACTGAATCTCACTATCTTGGGCAGGACTACCTTCAACCCTGGAGGTATAACTAATGACATTTTCAGTATGTCCCCAGTATTCATCACAGGCCTCAGTTTATGTAATAACTCTGGATTTCCTTAAAAACAACAACAACAAAAGATTCACGGGTGGCACCTGTGACTCAAAGGAGTAGGGTGCTGGCCCCGTATACCCGAGGTGGTGGGTTCAAACCCAGCCCCGGCCAAAAAAAAAAAAAAAAAGATTCCCCATAAGTTATACAACATTTCTCTTTTGTTTCAAATAAGGAAAGCTAAAGGCAATAGAGTGGGTAATGAACTGGGTTACAAATCAGAATCATCTGAGCTTTAGTTCTGATTTCAGTACTGCCCAGCCGACATCAGTTTCTTCATCTATAAAATGGGCTGACAATCTGTCCATTTTTGTTCACCGTGTTGATGTAAAAGTTATATAAGATGACAGGGCAGCACCTGTGGCTCAAAGGAGTAGGGCACCGGCCCCATATGCTGGAGGTGGCAGGTTCAAACTCAGCCCCGGCCAAAAACTGCAAAAAAAAATAAAAAGTTATATAAGATGATATGGGCAAATTCCCTAAAAACAATAAAGGTTCAGGCAGTGCCCATAACTCAGTGGGTAGGGAGCTGGCCACATACACTGAGGCTGGTGGGTTCAAACCTGGCCCGGGCCTGCTAAAACAACAAGTGACAACTGCAACAACAAAAAAAAAGCCAGGCATTGTGGTGGGCACCTGCAGTCCCAGCAACTTGGGAGGCTAAGGCAAGAGAATTGCTTAAACTAGTGGTTCTCAACCTTCCTAATGCTGTGAGCCTTAAATACAGTTCCTGTGGGTCATGACCCACAGGTTGAGAACAGCTGGCTTAAGCCCTAGAGTTTGAGGTTGCTGGGAGCTGTGATGTCACAGCACTCTACTGAGAGCAACATAGGGAAACTCTGTCTAAAAAAAAAAA